GAGATATGAACACTGATAAATGAAGCTGGAGATGAAGATCCTGATGAATTCATAAGCTTGGCAAACTAGGACAAGTAGTGGTGGTGGGGAACTTTTGGACTTCTCCAGATCTCATAAGTTCAAAGCAAAGGAGTCCCACAGAAGATCCACTGGGCCATACTTTTTTAAAAAAGACAAAACAAGCAAGTTCACAGACAAGAAAGTGTAAGGTTTTTACTTAACACCTAAGGTTGAACTATAGTAAAAACAACAATATAACCTAAAACATTTTATTTTAAGCTATCAAAGGGAAGGGACCTCTCTCAAACAATTGCTTAACCAAGTGAATACAAAAGTCACATAACATCAAAACAGTGAACCACCACAGTTTCATAGTAGCTAGGGTCAGGAGGGACCTGAACAGATCATCTAACCTGACCCCCTGCCACAGGCAGGAATGAATGCTGGGTTCACAAGACCCCAGACAGGTGATCATCCAACCTCCTCTTGAATTTGTAGGGGTGAGGACCACTTCCCAAGGAAGTTGGTTCCAGATCTTGGCTACCCCAACTGTAAAAAATTGCCTTTTGATCTCTAACCTAAACCTGTTCTCCATCAGCTCATTACCATTGTTCCCTGTCTGTCCCATATGCCTACTGATGATCAGCTTTATGATACAAGAATCAACCTTTTTAATTATGTTGTTGGCATACATTAAGGTCTGACATGGCCAGTATTAACATTTTTTAGTCATGCAAAAAAGTACAGAACCTCTGGCTAGCAAGAATTCTAATGTAATAAAGGGCTTAGTCCACCTGGCTGTCTGTCCCTAACACTCTTGGAGCACTCTGGTTGTTTCAGTCACAATCAGAGTGCTCCGAGAGCATTCTGGACAGGAGGCAGTGGCAGTGGTGTGCCGCCATGAGGGCAGGAACAGTGGCCTCGCCTGCCCCCCAGCCCTGCTCCCTGGAGGCGAGACAGTGGAGTGCTGGCCAAGAGGGACAGAGGAAATGGCAGGGCAAGCTTCCCCACCGTCCCTCACCCCGCTACTGGTAGGTGGTGGAGGAGCTCTGTCCCCGCCCCTAGCAATTTGCTAGTAACTCACAGACACAAAAGAAATGGGCATTATGATTTAACAAGTGTTTGGTTACATAATTAAAAACAGAACTGTGAAGATGATACTGTTTGCCTTAACTAAATGAGCCAATAAGAACATTAATGAGAGATGTTGATTCTACTCCTGCCTTGAACATGGACTTAAGCGAAGGTTTTGAAAAAATAAAATAAGCATGTTTTGGGGGTTTTTTATTACAAACAATGGGGATACATTGCACTAATGCATGGAATTAGGAGATCGGAAAACAACAACAAAAAAATCGTAAGTTCTAATTGTTAAAACCAGAATAGAATTTAAGGATTTCTACATTTGAGCCTTCTAATCATTAATCCCTACTCCGTTAATCTGCATGCCTCCCCCCTTCACCTTCTCCTAGTGCAAAAGATCCTTCCCAAGCACTCCTGCAACCCTCATCTCTTCTTGAGATCTAATGGAAAGATCACAATTCCCTTAGAGAGGAAGTCATAGAAATAAGACCTTTACTAATGTAATAAAATCTAAATTGAATAACTAAGAATAACTACAAGCATCAATCCTCATTAATGCCCACTAAATTAAACAAGTTGGAGTTTCTAGCCCAAGCCAGTTTTAGACTAGCATTTAAAAAAAAATCATTTTTGAACTGTTGCTTAGAAATGGAGGTAATTTACCAACACTTCTCCAAAAGCTTGTGTGATTATAGCCCTCAAAAAAAGACTTTCCTTAGAAAATAAAAAAACCAGGAAAACAAAAAACCTGTACTCCACAGAAAAGACTTAAGAAACTTCAGGTAGATTGGATGATAAAGACTATTTATAGGTCAGCTTCATTAACTCTGCCCCAGGGGGAATCCAGCCGTTCCTGGGTGCCACCACTGCAGAGGGAACCACCAGGGTCCCCCGCAGCTCAGGGACCACTTGGCCCACTGGCAGCTTGTCCCTCCTCCTGCCATGGGAGAGTCAGGTAAGCTAAGGATTGGGCCCACTAACCCTTGAGTACATGCAACAGGGGTTTGATTCAGTTTAGTTCTCCCTAAATTGAAACAGTGGAAATGGTGGGTTTTTAAAAACCCACCATTTCAACTTAGAGAGAACTAAACCGAATTAAACTGCCATCGTGTGTACAAGCACCCAGGGACTATAATGTTCATCCATTCTGTGAGCAGACTATAAACGCCTGTCCACTTCAGTCAGTCAGATGGGTAGAATGAATCATAAAACACAAGTATCCCTAAGCTTTCCTTTACCCTTCAATTTGGAAAAGATTGGTATCTTAAACAATCAGCACATGCTATTTGGTATACCAAGGCATGGAATACCTTACTGGCCATCTTGATATAGACAGCTGATGCAGATTATTTTCCTCTCTCTTTTTCAGCCACATGAGGCAAACCATGTCTCTGCTTACACATCTGAAGGCAGCACAGTAACTTTTGAATGCTGCCTCCAATACCTTCCAAAATCTCAGAGAAAAGATCTTGCCAATGGCCAGAAGTCCAACTAATTTTGGTGAAAGTCAAAAAACAGGCAGGGGGATGTGAGAAACACAGATCTACTGGCATCTAGTTACACACAGCCATTAGCTTCAACCAGAAGTGTAACTGGGCACTTCCGTGTCGTGAGCAGCCAACAAAGGATTAATAGGACAAGCTGCTGCTGCTGCAGGAGTTAACACAAAACAAAGCCACTGCAAAAACAGGTTTTGATAGCAAGTTTCAAAGCTGAAACTCTGCACCAAAAAAAATAAAAAATAAAAAGGGGGACAGGGGGTGTGCTGAGAGGGTTGACTTATGCAGCCCCACACCAGCAGTGGCTTTCTCTTGGAATGAACCTCTGACTCCAACCATGTGGCTGCTCTTTCATCCTCCCACCCACCTCAGACAGCACCATACCTGAAGGGGAGAGGCACTCCTCCCCCCCACCCAATTACACTGCACATCACTCTCCTGAGGCAAGGTCCAGGGTTGAGGAACATTGTTCTAGGTGAAGTCCCAAAAGAAACAGGACATGCAGAACCTCTAGCATATGGCAGGAGGAGAGAGTAGGTAGTGCACAGGACCCCCAATACAGGGGTGGGCAAAATATGGGCTGCGAGATAAATCCAGCCCTCCAGGGATTTTGTCCAACCAGCATGGGTCCTTTGGTCCCGCCCAGCCCAGGTATAGAGGTGAGCTCGGGCCATGGGACATGTGGCCAGTCCCACCGCACGTGGAAGCAGCAGCGGGGTTAGGGTGGCACAGCAGCCAGACACACTTCCTGGCAGCCCCCACAGCAGCAGCTCCTTCCAGCTACTACTGCCAGTCTGCCGCTGGAACCAGCCCTGCTGCCTGGGCACCCCAGCCTGCCTGCCCCACATGAACTGCCGGGGGCACCGATGGAGCGGGCAGGCAGAGTCTCTATGAAGACCAGCCCAGGACCCATGCAGGCAGGAGGCACAGCTGGAGAGATAGGATAGGGCCACGTATGGGCAGGAAGCAGTCAGGATCGGGATCAGGATCTTAGGGCGGTAACAGCATGGGGCCATGGCTGGACCCTGAGGCAAAGCCATGATATACTGCCCACACATCCCTGCAATGTGTGCCAGTTCTGTGGGTGGGGGCACGTAGGGCATGGATTGTGGCTCTGCCCCAGGCCCTGGCCTCATGCCGTCACCACCTCAAAATTCCAGCCCCAGCCCTACCTGCCCTTTCCACTTCTGGATGCTGCTTCCCACCTGCCTGCCCAGACCAACCTCCTGGCCAAGCACCCTGCCTGCATGGGTCCCGAGCCACTCTCTATGGAGACCCCAGGATTGCCAGGTGGTAACAGCATGGGGCTGAGCTAGACCCCAAGCCAGAGCCAGTTAGGGAGTTTTGGTGAGCTGTTGCAGGAAGGTGGGTGTGGGGGTGCTGACCCTGCCCACAACAACTCACCCAACCTCCCTTAGTGGCCCTCTGTGCCAAATAACTGCCCACCGCCCTACCCTAGCATGTGGCAGAAGGGCTGTAGGGAATCCCCAATTTAGAGCAGGAAGGGAGAGTTGCACGCTCCCTGTACATCGAAAGAATAAAAGAAACACAAGGACTCATGGTGTGTAGAATGAGTTCAGCCTACAGAAACAACCAAGTACATGAAATCATAGTATTTTGGTGGGTGGGTGTGTATCGCCCTATAGTTTCAATTGAACTGGTACATGCTCTGGTGAAAATGAAAGTCACAAAAGATCAGATTTAAAATGTTCTGGAAGTGTAGAAGGGTATAACAATTAGTGGAGACCAGAAGGCAGCTTGAAGTACACACAAGATTCTGAAACCTTGTATTTATTTTGAAGAAACCCACCACGACCAATTTTTCATACAAATACAAAAGTTCCCAGATAAGTCTTTTATTTGACGTTTGTTTTATGCCGGATGCTAACCAGCAGGACAAAAGATGTATATTCAACTTTGAAATGTGTAATTACAACATGATTAAGACCACATAATGGGCACCTTGGCAACATTTATAAGTTAGACACTGAGGAGTATGCACCACCAAAGCTAACAGTTGTGGCAAACTGTAAGTATGCAGTGTTTGTCGACAGATATGACACCACTGCATGGAATATTTAAAAAGTGTGCTTCTTCCAAATATCACAGATCAAGAACCAAACATAAAGAATTACTTTAAGAAGTGCTCTCTGCTAGCAAGTCTCTCTACAGTGCAATTACTCTACAGAAATGTCAGTGAAATCATCATCTTGGAGCTCCATCTGCTGACAACAAAGAAAACTGACAGGTGTTAATCCAGAGCATTTCCTATTGAATGACATTACTTGTCAAAAGTAAATAGCACAACACCACCTTAAATATGGCGGTGCTAGTACCATCTAGGTATCACAAAAGAAATCACAAGAAAACCTTGCCTCCATAACAGTCAAAAGAAGCAAGCATGATAGAACTATATACCTTCTAGAGATTCAATCCCAGTTGCTTGTGCCAACAGGTCTTCATGCCTTGCAACTACCTGAAGAGAGACCAAAAACTATTACAAAATGACAAAAATGTACAGCTGAAAAGGGACATCACCTATTCCATCCCTCTGCTACAAAATACAGCTAGACCCTTTTTGACAAATCTTTTAACAAAACCTACAGGTAGAGGATTCCATAACTCTTCCACAGTCTAAACCTCAAAAACAATGATTGACTGTTAGTAATCAATGGCTTGATGTCTAGTTGGGAGCCAGCACCAAGTGGAGTACCTCAGCGGTCAGTCCTGGGACTGGTTTTGTTCAATTTCTTCATAAATGACCTGGAAGATGGCATAGAGAGCACCCTCAGCAAGTTTGCAGGTAACACCACACTAGGGGGGAGTAGTAGATATGCTGAAGGATAGAGCTAAAATTCAGTGACCTAGACAAACTGAAGGATTGGACCAAAAGAAATATCATGAGCTTCAATAAGGAAAAATGCAAAGTCCTGCATTCAGGACAGAACAATCCCATGCACCAGTACAGGCTGGGGGCCGACTGGCTGGGCAGCAGCTCTGCAGAAAAAGACCTGGGAGTTACAGGGGTCAATAAGCTGAATATGGAGCCACCAGTATGCCCACGTTGCCAAGAAGGTTACCAGCACACTGGGCTGCATTAGTAGAAGCATTGGCAGCAGATTGAGGAAAGTGATTCTTTCCCTCTATTCAGTACTACTGACTAGGGGTGCACTGATAAAGATTTTCTGGGCCGATACCAATGGCAGCCATATCAGCCAATACCGATCCGATAGCCAATACGCAGCTGGGCAGCTTGGAGAGCAGCATCCAGCTGTTAAGTCCGTCAGATGTGAGGAGCCAGGGGCAGGGAAGGAGCTTGGTGGGGGCAGATCGAGGCCAGTGGTGAGAGAGGGAGAGGAGCTGGGGCAGGGGCTGCACAGTTGGGCCGGGGTGCAGGATGGAGCCATGGCTTATCAGGGGGCGCAGAGGTGGGGGCAGCTCCCACTGCTGCACGCACGCAGGAGGCGGCATAGGGGGCACGTGCCCCCTGGTTCTGTGCATGGGGTGAGGATGGGCTGCCGCTGCACGCACGCAGGAGGCAGCATGGGGGGCACGTGCCCCCTGGTTCTGTGCATGGGGTGAGGATGGGCTGCCGCTGCACGCACGCAGGAGGCAGCATGGGGGGCACGTGCCCCCTGGTTCTGTGCATGGGGTGAGGATGGGCTGCCGCTGCACGCACGCAGGAGGCAGCATGGGGGGCACGTGCCCCCTGGTTCTGTGCATGGGGTGAGGATGGGCTGCCGCTGCACGCATGCATGCGGTATTTACCAGTGACATAATCAGCCACATGAGCCAAAAAAGCCAATTATGTCCATTTTCCCTTTATCAGTGCCTATATGATATGTACTGATGTACTGGTGTACCTCTACTAATGAGGCCACATCTGGAGTACCGTGTGCCGTTTTGGGATCCCTACTATACAAAGGATGTGTAGACAAATTGGAGAGCATCTAGCAGAGGACAACTAAGTAGCTGTGGCTGCAGTACCAGTGGCATGGGACAAGTGCCAAGCTCCATTAAAATGCCCCCTTTCCCCTCCTCCCACTTCAAAACATTGCCAACATCACCTGCTACAATCTGGCTACCTGGGACAGGGGTTGTCAGCATCTCACTTTCCTGAACATTAGAATATATGTGATGTGTATTACTACCCTTCTAGTGAGAAAGTTCTTCCCAATATCTAACTTAAACTTCCCTTGCTGCAACTTGAGACCATTGCTCCTTGTTCTGTCATCTGCCACCACTGAGAACACTCTGGCTCCATCCTCTTTCGACCCCACTTCAGCCAGTTGAAGACTGCTATTAAATTCCCATTCTGTCTCCTCTTCTCCAGACTAAATAAACCTAGTTCCCTCAGCCTCTCCTCATCAGTCATGTCCCCCAGTCCCCCTCTCCCCATTTTTCATTGCCTTCCACTGGACTCTCTCCAATTTGTCCACATCCTTTCTGTAGTGGGGGGCCCAAAACTGCAGTACTTCAGATATGATCTCACCAGTGACAAATAGCAGGTAAGAATCATTTCCTTTGATCTGCTGGCAACACTCCTACCAATGCAGCCCAGGATGCTGTTAGCCTTCTTGGCAACAAGGGCACACTGGTGGCTCACGTTCATGTTGGCTTACTGTCTACTGTAATCCCCAGGTCCTTTTCTGCAGAGCTTATGTTTAGCCAGTCAGCCCTCATCCTGTACTGGTGCATGGGATTGTTCAGTCCTGAATTCAGAACTTTGCACTTGTCCTTATTAACATTCATGAGATCTCTTTTGGTCCAATCCTCCAATTTGTCTAGGTTTCTCTGGATCTTAGCCCTACTTCCAGCACATCTACTTCTCCCCACCCCACCTTGACGTCACCTGCAAACCTGCTGAGGGAGCACTCCATCCCATCTTCAAAGTCATTGATGTAAATATTAAACAAAATAGGCCCAAGGACTGCCACCTGGGGCACTCCATTTGATACTGGCTGTCATCTAGAAATCAAGCCATTGATTACTACCCTTTTAGTCCAATGATCCACTCAATTTTCTATCCACCTTACAGTCCATTCATCCAACCCATATTTCCATAGTTTGCTTGCAAGGATGTTGGCAGAGATAGTATCAAAAGCCTTGCTAAAGGTACATCATGTACACTGGCCTCCCCACCTCCACAGAGCCAGTCATCTCAAATAAGGCAATCAGATTGGTCAGGCATAACTGACCCCTGGGTGAATCATAGATGCTAGGGTAGGAAGGGACCTCAACAGATCATTGAGTCCAACCCCCTGCCTAGGCAGGAAAGAGTGCTGGGGTCAGATGACCCCAGCCAGATGTCTATCCAGCCTTCCCTTAAAGACCCCCAAGGTAGGGAAGAGCACCACCTCCCTTGGAAGCCCATTCCAAATTTTGGCCACCCTTACCGTGAAGAAGTTTTTCCTGATATCTAGCCTAAATCTGCTCTCTGTCAATTTGTGACCACTACTCCTTGTTACCTCAAGAGGTGCCCTGGTGAACAGAGCATCTCCAATCCCTTGCTGTAACCCCCTAATGAATTTGCAGGTGGCCACAAGATCACATCTAAGGATTCTCTTGTGGAGGCTGAAGAGGTCCAGGTCCCTCAGTCTCTCCTCATAGGGCTTCTCCTGTAAGTCCCCAACCATACAAGCAGCCCTCCTCTGGACCCTCTCGAGTCTATCAACATCCATCTTGAAGTATGGCGCCCAAAACTGGATGCAGTATTCCAACTGTGGTCAGACCAATGCTGCTTAGAGGGGAAGTATCACCTCCTTGGTTCTATTTATCATGCATCTGCTGATGGCCAGCAGTTCTGCAATAACACCTGCCAACTCCCTCAGCACCCTCAGGTGCATTACATCTGGCCCCATGGTCTGGTACATATCCAGCTCTTCTAAATAGTCCCCAAGCCACAGGTAGGCAAAATGACAGATCCCACAAGTCTTTGCATCCATCACTACAGCCAGTTTCCATGGAGAACCCAGGAACAGTGGGCATGACAGTAGGGGGCCAGGGTTTCCATGGAGATCAGCCCAAGCAGCATTGGGAGGGCGCATGGCTGGGCAGAGAGCTGCTTTGGGGCCAGGGCCAGGATTTTGTGGAGGTGACAGCATGGACTGAAGCCAAGGCATTGCCATGATCCACTGGCTGCATGCCCTGCCTGGGGCAGGTGGGCAGCAGATCGCAGTTCTGCCCCAGGTCTGACCCACACTGTCACTAGTGCAAAATCCCAGCCCCAAAGCAGCTCCCCATCCAGTCGCATGCCCTGCCAATGCTGCTTGGACTGGTCTCCGTGGAAACCCTAGCTCTGCACTGCCACTGGCCCCACGGGGCCTCCTGAAGTCTCTATGAAAACTGGCCAGAGTAAGACGGGCAGGGGCTGCTGGGAAATGGAGTCTGCTGCGAGCCCAATCTGGCCCACAGACTGGACTTTGACTGCCCCTGCCCTAACCTGTTCTTCTGCCACTGCCGGCTGCTCACCTCCTCCCCAAACTGTGCCACCCAGTGCAGTAGTCTGGGAACTGACCTTGCCTGTGAAGACTGAGGTGAAAGAGGCATTGAGCACTTCAGCCTTCTCTGCATCATCTCTCACAAAGTTGCCTCCCCCATTCAGGAAGGAGCCCACACCTTCCCTGATTTTCCTCTTGTTGCTGACATATTTGTAGAAACCCTTCTTGTCCCTTGCTACCCACAAGTCCAGTCGCGCTTTGGCCTTCCTGATTCCATCCCTGCATGCCCAAGCAACACTCTTATATCCCATCACCCCCCAACCCCCAAGTCATTTCTCCAAGTTTTGACTTTTTTGTAAGCTTTCTTTTAATGTTTTAGCTCACTGAAGTGTTCCCTGGTCTTCTGCCATGCTTGCTAGTCTTCCTGCAAGTGTCACTAGCTGCTGAGAACATGGGGTAGTTTGATATGCAAGTGAGACCGAGGGGATATTTAGTTTTCAAACCAACTTGTATGCAACTGCCCTGGAACAAGTGATATGCAGGATACTTACTTGCAAGTGGAGCTCTTTATCCAGCTGACTGATTCCTTGAGCAAGTTTTGCTAACTGCTCAGCTATTATGGCTCGATGAATAGACTGGGAAGTGTAAGCCTTTACATCAAAGTCTTCTTTTAAAAAGTCAGCATAACATTCTGGAAAAAAAGGTTAAACAAGCTATTTATTTTCATGCTCAAATACCTATAAGTATTTAAACATGTAAGAAACACTGGAAGCTCACCAACCTGTACTCAGCCCAATGCAGGGTGGTGGCTAGTTTCTGTTGTCCACATGAACACATTTATTTAATGAATGACCACTCACAGATTCACAGAAGTTTAGGGCTGGAAGGGACCATGAGATAACTGGGTCCAGCCCCTGTGCTCTGGGCAGAAAAGACTGCTGGGGTCAAATAACCCCAGCAAGGTGTGCATCCAGTCTCCTTTTGAAGATCTCCACGGTAGGTGTCTGCACCACCCCTGCTGGGAGTCTATTCCAGAGACGCATGAACCGTGAAAGAAGCTTTTCTTTATATCCAGTCTGAAACCTTTTTCTACAAGCTTATGACCATTGCTCCTGGTTTTGCCCTGGGGCACTTTGGCAGGGAAGCAAACGTAAAGTAGCTATGCCAGACCACACCATAGTTATAGTGAAAGCAAACAGACCTTGGCTCACACCCCGATAAGCCAAACCAGATAACACCACGTTTCCCATGATCTACAACCCACACTCCCTATTTCTTCTGAATCTTGAAAACTGCATCAGCTGATGTTTCACCTGGAGTCCAGCCCAGCACAGAGGCGCATCTTAAAACCCCAGAGCCTCCCATTAAGCAGAGACATGCGAGCGCAGCGCAGTGCAGGCCCCCACACCAGGTCCGCTGGCACCACGCAACTTTAAAAAATGAAAATGATTGGATAAAGGATCTGAGATGGGGCTGCACCACGCTCTAATCTGGGGGGGGGGGCAACCAGGGGCACAGGTGCCACACAGGGCAGCCTCAGCATGTGCAGAGGGGACCGGGAGCAGGAAGCAGAAGGGGATGGCAGGAGCCCCTTACAAGGGCTGCAGCCAAAGACTGCTCCAGGCATTGCTCCTGCCCAGGAGGTCGCCCCGCAGCGCCCAGCCCCTGTGCGGGCTATTTTGGGCCCCCAAGGAAGGAGGCGCCCCCCCCCTGTTGCTAGGAGACCCCTCCACAGTCCCCCTCACCGTCCGCCAGCAGCTCCCCGAGCGCCGGTCCCGGGACCGCGCTTCCGCCCCCTGCTTCCATGCTGGCAGGTGCGGGGGGAGGAGCAGGGTTACGTCACTGCACTGCGACCACTCCAGCGTGACATGAGAATCCAGCGACAAAGCTAAACCCTCCCATGGGCAGCATCTCCGCGATTCCTATTGGTCGGCGGGGGGCTGGGGGAGGTCAGGGGGCAAAGGTCGCGCGAGTTATGCTGTGCCTGTCTCCTGCAGGTAACGTAGAGCTGGCGGGGCGGGGCGGGACCGGGAGCAGCGGGTGTTCGTCCTGCCCCACGTGCTCACTGCTTTTCAGTGTCCTCTTATCCGCCCGTTGCATCCTCTCCGCTCCCGCCTGGGCTCGGCGCGGCGCGGCGCCCCTGGGTTTCCCTGCCCCAAGAGGGCCGGGCAGGTCTGCCCCCTCGCCAGGGCCCTGCCACATCTTCAGGTTGAAGCTGGACAGCTCTAAAGCTGTCACACGGTTTCAAGAGCTGACTTGGTGGCGCATTAGCTCCCTGTAGCCAGGGACGTTTTTATGGCATGATTATTGCTTTGCATGCCTGGCTGGTTTCAATGTATTGAACCGTTCTCCAGTGATCTACAGTACATAATATATATGACACGTGGCCAGTCCGTGTTTATTGTGCAGTTCACCTGTGAGTTGAATAATACACATGATGTGTAGCAGGGGCCTAGTGGATCGGTGGTTCTCAGCCCAACCCAGGTTAAACTCAAGCCACCCTCGGAGACTGCCAACTCTTTGCTTTCACTCAGTTGTTGACTCACTTGTGTTGCAAAGAGCTCAGGAAGTTCACAGCTGGTCAAGCTGCCCCTAACACTGTGGATTCCTATTTGAAATCTCTGGCTTTGCCTTGTGAGTCGTGTTTACACACCTACCAGTGCTGTCATTGCACCCTTGAAAGGATCTCAAAGCAACCCAAGGTGCCACAGCATCTTGATTGAGGATCACTGTTATAGGCAGACTAAATCAGAGATGTTTTTGTTAACAGCAGCTTCCTTCATCCAATGCTGTTCACCAGTAACTCTTGCGTAGAATATTCCCAAGCCTTTTTCAAGCTCCATACATTTTGCTGAGTTTCTACACAATCTATTACATTTCAGTTAATTGAGATATACCATTGAATTTGTATGGAGTAAGTGGAATAAAAATATATTTGTAAATCTATTGTTCTGTGTTGTATATTAAATACAAGGAACATACTAAAGGGCAGATGCAAAATCTAGGTAGGAAATCTAAGATAATCAATTAACTCTACCGATAACGGGGAGAAGCAGTGGGTTAGTATGCAACAGGCTTTCACCATAGTGTTGCTTCTGGACCCTAAGAATAGGTCCCTCCTCAAACTGTTATTTGTATGAGGTTAGACAAACAATTAATAGAATTTATTCTTGCATGAACAATCTCCCCTTGCTGTAAACTATGAAAACTGAGCATAGAAAGCAGGGTTCCTGTTTTAAATTTTGTTTTGTTTTTTCTAGATTTAAAAAGACCTAAAATTTATACATGATCTGTGACACCACAGACACCCCAGAATGTCTTCTGAGAGATCCAGTAGATCTGTTTCATTCTGGGCACATTGTGAAAATATGTGCCCCTATGGTCCGTTATTCAAAGTAAGTAACTTGTCAGCCTTAACCACATATCATCAAAGCTTTTATCATGTAAATGCATTGTATTAAGTATAAAAAGAGTGTATTTATGTTTTAATTATTAATTTTTATACTTGGGGAAAATATACTTCAGAACATATTTGTTTACGTTATGGTACCAGGTAGATTACCCACTGTACCTGAGCTACATGGCCAAAAACACTTTAATTTAATTTTAAAACAACTTATTTGGGAGATCAATGGCTTTACTTGTGATTGTGTAATTTTGAGTCTTTTCCCCAAGTCAAATGTTCTTATGTTTACAGGTTGGCTTTCCGAACTTTGGTCAGGAAATACAATTGTGATTTGTGTTATACACCAATGATAGTTGCTGCTGACTTTGTCAGATCTGTTAAAGCTAGAGACAGTGAATTCACAACAAACCAAGGTATGGAATTCTCATTCTGTTGCATTTTCTTATGATTTTATGCAGTAATTGATTTTGAGTAAGTGAGGTCTAGCCCTCAACTTCAAAGGTATGTAATAAAACTAGGGTACACCACTCATGACCAATTTCAAACTCTCAAACTGTTCTAGGCATCCGTGGGTCCAACCTTTGATATTTGAACAAGTAGAGATGTTGAAAATTCTGATTGGTTCACAGGAAAATCAGGCCAACTAGACTGGCCAGCAGCACAAGCAGAGAAATCTCTGTTACCCCTTGCTGCTGTTAGTGTCTTTCCATAAAAGAGGCAGCCCCTGAACTTGTCATAGGGTGAAATTGTCTGCCAGTGACTTGGATTCTAACAGACACAAAAGAAGAGATAGTGGAGACCAGGTATGAAGTGCAGCAAATTTGGGAGAAGGCATGAGAGTTTGGCACAGAGGAAACTTGCTGGTGAAGACTGGAGAATTTGCAGGGTCCGTGTACTATTTACTAATGATAGCTCAAATGTAGTGGCTTATATGTTAGCAGCAGTGCAGATATTTTTGATGTTTAGTACTGATAATCCTCACAGATGCATTTCTCAGGTAGAACAGTTCCATTACCTTTTCTGTATATACAGGTATTTTGAAGCACAAATATGCCCTCAGATATTTGGCCTTCTGTAATAGTGACAATCCTATTTGTTGCTACTTGGAAGAAATGTAAGTGTTGCTTAAATGCTCATTTAGGATTGAGATGCCGCAGCAGACACCTGTTTCAACAATTCAAGAACCTTGTTCTTTACAGTTTTTAAGGTCTCCTTATATTGTCTTTATCAGAGCATTCAAAAAATAAGAGAGCTTCAAAATGTTTTCTGTCTGTTTCTTCCCATTGATGTTAATTTTTCTTCTGTGAATAGAGTGGAATCCTAATATTGAAGTAAATATGTATGGAAAAACAGTGCATTGCAGCACTAGTTATTGACAATGGTATAATGTTAGAAACTTGTATTTAATGATGTTGAACAAGTAAATATACAAATGTTGGACATTTTCCAGAAGTAACAAAATGTTCAGAACTTAGAATTCTCAATATATTACTTTTTTAAAAAAAAAATCTGATGCAGTTTGATCATAAAATTAGGTTTTTATGGAGTCTCAAGCTGATTTTCAAGAATTATGAAGGATAAGTGTCTTGTGTAGTATGCATTACTATATTCTAAACAGCTCTTCATCTGACTAGGTGATCGCCCACTGATTGTTCAATTTGCTGCTAAAGAAGCACAGGTTTTATCAGATGCTGCCTGTATCGTCTGTCCCTTTGCAGATGGAATAGATTTAAACTGTGGTTGTCCTCAGAGGTAAAGGCTTTAAAGAGGTTGGATGAATGTATGGAAAAAAATAGGGAAAAATCAATGTAAAAATGTCATTTCCCTTGGTGTCCAAATATTAATGAAATATTAATAATTCAGTGGCAGTCCTTATATACAGAGAGGTTTGATTTGTCTTCCTACTAAAGTACAGTGGAATCTAGGCACTGTTGCCAAGGTGCCGTTCTTTCCTTTTAGGTCAGGGATGGGCAAAATATGACCCATTGGCTGGTTCTAGGCCACCAAGCAATTCTGTCTGGCCTGCAGCTGGTCCTTCAGCCCCTCCTGGCCCAGGTGCAGGCAGAAGCCAAGACCGTGGGCATGCAGCAGGGTGGGGGAGACAGGGCAGCTGGATTTGGCTTCCTGACAACTCCAACAGTGATGGCTCATTCTTCCCACCTGCTGATGCCACTGTCTCCATTGCCTCCTGGCCATCCCAGCCCATCCACCATATAACCACTGCCAGGTGTGCTAGACAACTGGTGGGGTCTTCATGGATCAATTACTGATCCCCCTCCAAGCGGGGTCAGCAACCCTCCCCCCCAACAGCTCACCAAAACTTTTTTAATGACTTTTCAGCCCGGGTAATTGCCAACCCCTGGGCTAGGTTGAGTTTTGACTTAATATAGTGAATGGGCACCACCTAGTGGGCTACTGTTAACAGTGCATTAACAAAGGCCCTAAAATGTGTGCATTCTAACTTCCCAGACAGAGGGAGAGCTTTCTCACAAGTTGAAAAGTACATTAAGGGGAAACCATGTCAGTCACCAGAATGATAGTGTTAGATCCTGATGCCTGGAAAACTTCGACAAAGAGCACCTTCTGAACTATCTCTTTTTGCATTAAGCTGTGACTCTGTAGTTCATTTGGTGATGAAAAAGCTTATGTCTTTTGATTTTTTTTGTGTGTATATAATATATATAAAGTGCATAATATATATGTATGCATATATTATATATATACATACACCCACACATACATATATGTGTGTGTATGTATATATTACATTATATATTACATGTCCATATATATATGCCTTACTTACCATCTTAATGACTTTATTCCTGTATATCACTTCCTGATCCAGTGGTAACCAACCTTTTGGCCCTGCAGGCCAGATGAGTGGTGCCAGGTCCATATGCAGGCTGGATTCAGCAGGTGCATAGCATTGACTTGGTGCAGGTCTCTAGCCCCAGCCCTAGCCCCACATGCAGGGCTCTGCCATCTGGCCTGCAGGACTTGGAAATTTGGCAGTGGGGGAGCAGTTGCCACTGTTCCCTCAATACCAAACTTCTGGAGCTGTGGGGAGTCCCATGGGCCCTGGCCCACAGGGCAGAGTGAAAACCACTGCCCTAATCAGATTGAAAATAATCATGCTCAAGTAAAGACATCCATTAACTGGTTTGGTTGCATACCATTTATTTATAAGTGGTATTGGAAGTATTTAGTATGCAACTTTTTTACAGAGTGAAAACATTAACTGGAAAATATAGGAAAGGAAAACTGAAAGCAAATGTATAATTAAATACAAGAATCTTAGTCTCCGCCTTTCAACCCAGCTGCTTTGAAAATTGTCAGATTGGAAGTTTCTGTCTGATCAAAAGTTATATTTAATATTCACAAGAGACAAAAGTTCTCAGTTTCAAAAAAAAAAGAGAGTACTGTTATCTTTTTTACTTAAAAATTCACCTGATAGAACAAATTACTTAAATATGTCAAAAAATAGGTGCAGCTGGATTTGGAAAAGGATATATCTATCCTCACACGCACGCATTTGAAGGCATAGTTTTCACTGTCAGTTTTAAAGGGAGGTCATTTCCACACAGATAAGAACCAAATTTGAATAGCTTATTCTTTATCCTCTTCTGTCATTGCTGCTTGAAAACAGTCCACAACGCCATAAAGAAGATAAAATCTTAATAAAATTCACCTACCAGTGGTTACATGGCCTGTATCACTGTAGTACCTGAGCACTTCACAAAATATTTATAAATCTTCACGAGGTTAGGAAAATCTTATCACTATTTTGCAGGAACTGAGTCAGAGTCAAGGACTTGCTCAAAGTTGCACAGGAAATCTGTGTTAGAACTAGAAACTGAACCTAGATTTCCTGATAGCCAGTGCTTTATCCAAAAGAACATCTTTCATCTATAGCTGGTACTGTTTCTGCCTATTTCTGTGCTGATCAGATAATTCACAAGCAAGTAAAGAAAGAAACTGAAATGGCCATTAGGTTGAGTTGTCTTGTTTTGCAAATGCACAATGCAGATTTGTTCTCTTTAATTTACAGGTGGGCAATGGCAGAAGGTTATGGTGCTTGTTTAATAAATAAACCAGAGCTAGTTCGAGATATGGTAAGACAAGTAAGAAATCAAGTGGAGAATCCCAGATTTTCAGTATCTATTAAAATAAGGTAAATTTAGGCCATTTCTACATCATGGTACAATGAAGAATACTTCATGGGAAATATGTTAGATTTCCTGAAATGTGGTGATTGAGAGTCTACTTTTTCCCTGTAAGACACCCCTGAGATCTTTAACAACCCTAAAGGGCCAAGACATCCATTTGTACTCTCATCCAAAATGCATTTGGGGATTTGTAATCTCAATCTGACACAATTGCAATCAGCATAACTCTGAAACTCCTCTCCAAATATGCAGTAACATGCAAAGCGCAAGCATAAATTCAAGAGTTCAGAATCCAATAAAGGTAAAATGATTGCAGACAAGTTGTATGGTTTGTACAAGCATATTGCCTGTTGTTTGCCAAGTAATCTTGTGAAAAAAGATTGGGCAAGATTAAAATGTGGGTGGACACTCCCTAAGGAACACGAGTGGGGAATAGGAAGTGATGCTGAGTTAGTGGCATTCTTCCTCTGTGGGTACATCTACATGTGCACTTCACTGCAGAGCTGACTAATTACCTCCGCAGAAAAGCAACACCACCTACATGTGCACCCTTATTAGAGTTCAGTAAATTAATGAACTCCACTGTAGGATGTACCATCTGGAACAAGTAGTATCCTACGGCAGAGTCATTTAGTGCACCAAAATGCACATGTAGACAGCGACCGGGGCTAGCCAGGGCATGAAGGTGCTATAGAGTGGGGGCTGTCTGCCACCTAGCCCTGCACCATAGCACCCTGGTGCCCCAGCAAGTCCTTTTGCTGCCCAACGCCACCACCTGGAGCCCAGGGCTGCCCCCGTCCCTTGCCAGCCTGGAGCTGCTTCACCCCAGCTCAAACAGCTGCGATACTGAGCACACATGAAGACACTGCACCCGGGAGCACCTGACTCCAGCATGAATTGCACCGTAGTTCTTTATTTCAGCTGGAGGGCCACTTAGTGAGTTTTGGGAACCTATTGAGGACCACATCCATTTCTGCCTTGAGCGTGCTTCCTTGCATGCGCTGCCTTGCAAACGCTATCTCACATTGAAAAGCAATGGAGAAAGTACTGAGCCTTGTGGGACGCCATTCTTAAGACTTCTAGGGTGGCTTTCCTATCCATCGATCGTTTTGAGAGTGAAACTGCGGTTCTGAAGCATGAGTGTCATAAAGCTGAGGATTGTGTTGCATGTGTAGATACACCCTGTTAGAACACAGTTAATGATGTATTGTAGTATTAACTGCATTGCTCAGGTAAGGAGGCTGAATTTTGGATTGGATATAAAAAGTGGACCTTGACCAATTATAGTTGTTTGAAAATGTCATTGAATTCCTTGATAAACTTCAACTTGATCTAATCTGCCTGTTTGAATTACCTCTTCAGTTTCAGGTGGAAAAAGATATCCTTCATTTCATGACTTCCTAAAAATGTGTGAGGTGTTGCTCTGTGTTATATGGCTTTTCAATGAATGAAATGATTCTGAGGTAGATTTTTCATATCAGTTCATTACATTTAGTTGAGAAGTAGTTTGGGATCTCTTGAAAAGAAATGAGAGAGAAATGGGAAAGTTTTCAGTGTAGTATAAAATTATGCAAAATACAAAGTTATTTAAAAAGTCTTCCAGTGTTTTGGCAAAAACTTGGCCCAATTTTAGTTTAGGGACTCAATCTAATGTGACAGTACTAAATTGAGGGACATTGAAATAGTATATGTTAAACACACATCTTTTATAATGAATCTTCCAATGGTAATGTTCTCTCATTTGTACAGCTCTTATTAACTCTGCTATATATCAGATTTTCACACTGTTCGGATATTTATTGGGTGATAATTCCATTCCTTGGAATTTTAGGATCCATGATGATCTAAAGAGAACTGTAGACCTCTGTCGAAAAGCAGAAGCAACTGGAGTTTCCTGGATTACAGTTCATGGAAGAAGTGTAGAAGAAAGACATCAGCCAGTACACTATGATGCAATCAAAATAATTAAACAAAACATATCTATACCTATTGTGGCTAATGGAGATATTAAATCATTAAAAGATGCAGAGAATGTTCATCATATGACAGGTGCAGATGGTAAGAATTCTGCATGCTTTTATGCATTTTTGGGAAATATGGTGGGGAATTAAATTTTTAAATATTTATTTTGTCTTTAGTAGAACCTATTTGGGTATTTTTTTATCTTTTCAAAAAGAGAGGAGCTTTCTTGGTTCCAATAGCTTAAAGTTTCATATGCAGACATTCTTGTAATCACTTGAATATCATGATGATTACCATTAATAAGAATCTCCAGGGCAATGCACAAGCCACCCATTTATTAAGCTGCTCCACCCCTTTAATGTAGCAGGAGTGCTGGGGAATTCTCTCCTTCCTTCTTGTAAAGTCTATGACCTGTGAAAAAAGGGTTCATAACCTTGCTGAAAACCTTCCCTTGACAAATAACAGTTCTTTTTACTGCTGAAGGTGGGTATTGCAGCAGCTGCCATTTTGGTCCATACACATCCATGAGCACATTCAGGAGGGATGTTAAAGGAGTGCAGCCACACTGCATTTGGCTCTGTGACATGTGTGCCATGAACTCTGGACAGTCATGTCCATGAAGCACCTGCCAGAGTTTTACACATGCTGTGAGCTCACTGTGTGATCAGTGCAGACTCTGACTAGAGCCCTGGCTTTTCCATGACTCCAGGGGCTAGCATGTGAGCACAGCTCCATTTTTCCCCCACTGCTGAATTTAGTGGAGGATGGGAAGAGGAGGGCAAGAGAGGGCAAATGGTAGTGGCATTCTTTGGGGAAGGACTGTTTTTACAGTGCCTATCACAAAAGAGTCCTGTGCCAGGACTTGGTCATTAAGCTGCTATGGAAATAAAACCAGTGTTTTGAGGAAGCAGACTTGATTTGACCTGCACAGCCTTGATCCTATTATAGTAGGTCTATGGTTGAAGAGAGAAGAGCAGCTCCATAACAAAAGATATGCGAGAGAGATTTAGTCTGCCTCCTTTGATGTTCAGTAGGAGCAAGAGGAGAAAATTGTGATTTCCTGTGCTATTACTCTACTACAAAAGGCCTTCCTCCCAAAATCAGCTGCAGGGGGCTGCAGAAAATGAATTGCTAGTAAAATACAAAAGAAAATATTTTATAGGTAAAAACTTTTTAAACCTGTTATGCCCCAGCTGACCTTCATTGATAACCAAAGTATAAAATTAAAGTCAATACTTTAAGAGGTATTATTCGAGAAATCCAGAAACTTGTATTAATTTTTTTTCCTGCTAGGCACCACACAAGTGCAACAATTTCTAGTATCATTGCACGTTTCTAAAAGTAGAAACTAAGTAGTAAAGACTCAGTGTAATAAAAGGTGACCTGATGTCAGTGGAGGGAAAGAGCTTTGTAACACACATTGAATCATCCTGTCTCACTGCAGAATAATCAGTGCTTCTCTGATTTTATCTGGCTGATCGTTTTAGGATAAGTGCAGGTGCATCAAACCTGTACCAAAAGTAGAGATTCATACCAAATCAAAAGCCCAGTTTCTGAAAATAATAGCCTAAGTTTATCCATTGTGTAAGTTTCCTTACACAAAAGAAAAATCTGGCATGTTCTTTCTTTTCCATCAGTCATGACTTGTGCTAAAGAGTCAGATTGTCCTTTATTTAACTAACAAAAGTAAAATTGTTGGAAGTTTAGTTTCAGTGAATAAAAGAACAGGGGAAAGAGAAAGCTGCTGTTTTGTTCATCCTGTGCATTATTTCAAAGTTTCTATCATGAAGAATGCCATTAAGGACACTGGATAGTCTGCACCACTAAATGCCACAGGCTGCCTGGTGCTTGGTTTGTTTAAGTTTTTCTTGGTGCAGGTACTGAATTTTAGCTTACCATTGTTCCCTAGGTAGCTGTTTATAAGCTTTCCAATAGGTGTGGTGATGAGTGCTGGTTAAAGCCTTGTTTTAAAATTTGTACGTTGATTCTTGTTTAAAATTTTCCATTTGAAGGTGTTATGGTGGCAAGGGGGCTCTTAGCCAATCCAGCCATGTTTGCAGGATTTGATGAGACACCCCTGAAGTGTATACAGGACTGGGTTGACATTGCTCTTGAACATGGGACTCCTTTTACATGTTTTCATCATCACTTGATGTACATGATGGAACGGATAACTTCAAAACAAGAAAAAAAGGTTTTTAATGTTTTATCAAGCACCCCAGCAGTTTTGGATTACCTTAGTGACCACTATGGAGTGTAAGAGCTTTTAAAGTATTTTAATAATATGAGTATCACATTTTATATTTCAGAATTGCTAATAAGTTGTCCTCATGCTTATATTTTATTTGTCAACATCATATATAATACCAAAATATTTTGTGCAGTGACACATTACTAAATGTTTGATCATATTTGATCATAATATGAACATATTTATAGTATTTTTATGTTAACTTTTGCTACTCAGGAAATAGCAACAACTTGAAAACAGCCTTTATATGGAGATATTGCAGTGCATTACTATACATGGAGTTATGATGATATAAGCAAGTCCTTGTGGAAAAAACATTAATATATGAAGTACCAAAGTGTTTACAAGGACAGGTCCCAGCCCTGCAGCCTTTGCTCATAAGAGATTTCTGCTTGGAGCAATAGGCCTAATGATAAGTAAGGGCAATAGGATCAGATGTAAAGGATATTAAATAGATTTGTTCTCTTATCTGTGAAAAGCTTAAGGTGTACTTTTGTGATGTACAGATAATTATGCTGTCATTTAAAGTTTAAACAGTGGAAAATGTTAGTGCCCAGAATATCAGGGCTTTGCACAGCCGCCTCTCTTTAGGTTCAGCTGTTTATTTTGGCAAATCTAAATGGGCCTTGAACTCAGCAGAGTTCCAGATTCCCCTGGCTATATGACTGAAATAAATTAAAACTATGTGTGTTTATCTTGTAACTTAAAGAACAGGCTAAATTCTATTTTCTACCCATTATAGGGCTAACAGGGCAACTCTGTGCTCAGGGCAGCAACAGGTGACACAGTTCCAATGGCAGTGGTGCAGTCAGATGCTGCAGCAGTGGCAGTTATTTTTGTGCCCTTCTACCCCCTCAACCAAAGTGTACCTGAGGCTTCTCTGCTAGTCACCCTCCTTCAGTTATGCTACTGCCCCAGTAATTTAATAGGTAAAGTAGAAGCTATGTGCATTTTGTGCTAAGTGATATCATAATTTTTAGTAATGAAGTCTCAACTGAGCAAGGGAATTAAGCATGCACTCGTATAGTACCACTGATTTTAAACATAAGAGTAGTCTTATTTTGAAGTTCTGTTGTGCTGAACAGGTACATGAAACTTAATGATTTGTTCAATATGTACTACGTACAGTATATATATATATATATGTTCATTAATAGAGTGTAATAAGCACTTTTATATATACATTTTATTTGAGAGATATAAATAAAAGGAACTGGATAATATTTATGAAACCATATAAAGAAGCATAGGGTTTTAATCCAGTTAGCAAGAAGTAGTAGTCTTTTGTTAAGTCAGAAGACAGGCAAGACAACATGATTCTCTCAGCCAGGTTCTCACAATCCCATTTCTTTTAGTTGCTCAACAAAGCATTACTGTTACTTAGAAGTGTATTTATTCATAGGCACAATGTAATGAAAATTGGAACACAAGGATAACATTCCACACTATTGCAATGGTCTTGGTAGGGGAAACTTCACAAACTTTTCAGTCCAATGTAATAAAGATTTTGATCCAAAATCATGCATTTCATATAGCATCTGGCTACACTGAAATTCATACCAGTAATGCTTGCATTTTAATTAGTAATTTGACTTTTGTACATCTGGAAGTGACTGTATAAGAATATAAACAGCTGTTAATTTTCTAAACTATCTGTTTAATTTTGTATATGCTCCCAATTAATGTTTTTATTAAATGTGTCATAAATTTTAGGATTCGGCTCTGGTTTCCCTGCTCTTACCTTTTAAAGCAAACTTATTTTTATATGAGAATTTTCTAATATGGCAGCTTAAGAGACTGTTGTTTGCTGTTAGTGTAGTATGTACCACCATTAGGATATTTAGGGAAGCATTGTAAGAACATAGCACAGGGCAGTTCATCTCTCCCGACATGCACGTCATCCAATCCTCTTACATAAATTGATCGCGCTTCTTAAAAGCAGCCAGATTTTTTGCCCCACTACTCCTATTGGGAAGTTGTTCCAGAATCTCACTGTTCTGATAGTTTGGAAATAAGATTTCTATCTAAATGTATTCATGGCCAGATTATACTATGTATTTTTATTGCACCATTACCCTTTAGCTTATGTAGTTATTTTGTCCTCCTTGAGATTTATCACTATGATGTATTTATAGATGGCAGTTGCATCCTCTCAGCCTTTATTTTACAAGCTAAGCACTTATCATATGATAGCTTCTCTATTTTCCTGTTCATTCTAGTAGCCCTTCCTTGCATCAGCTCCAATTCAAATTCATCTTTCTGGAATATGGGTAACCACAAATGTACAAAGTATTCCAGATGAGATCATGTGCAATGACATTATTTCCTTGTCTCTACTGGGAATACCTCAGCTGATGCATATTAGATCACTTTTGTCTTTTTCACATCTCCCAGTCATGCTGTGATCGGCTAGTACACGCAGGTCCTTCTCCATTGTTTCCAAGTATTGAGCTCCCAGTTTATATAAGAACCTCTTGTCCTTATTTCTTAAGACCATGACCTTGCATTTTATTCTATTTAATCTCATCCTGTTGTTATCACAGAAAATGATAGTGCCTCTCTACTGTGCACTTGTTAAGCTTCATCTGAAGTACTATGTGCAGTTCTCCATGTCTTTTTAAAAATGTGGAACCCAGAAGTTAGAGAGGGTCCAGAGGCAGGCTTCAAAGATGACCAGGGGCTTGGAAAGCAAGTCCTACAAGGAGAGGCTAAAAGAGCTAGGTATGGTCAGCTTGCGGAAAAGGTGCTTAAGAGGGGACATGATAACAGTCTTCAAATACTTGAAGGGCTGCCATAAAGAAGAGGGAAAAGCAACTTTTCTCTCTTGCTACAGAGAGGGTGTGGAACAATGGCCTGAAGTTGCAGCAAAGTAAGTTTAGATCAGATATCCAGAAAAAAACTTCACTGTTAGAATAGTGAGGCAGTGGAACAGACTGCCTAAATAAGTTGTGAACTCTATATCACTGGAGGTGTTCAAGAAGAGGTTGGACAGCCACTGGTCAGGGATGCTGCCATGCCTATTTTCTACCATGGGTATTTCCCATGCTTCTGGGCTTTGCTAGTTGCTCCCACTCCCTCTCCCCTTTCTCCCCACCTTTATCTGCTGTATGTGTCAGGGTGTTTTCAGGCCTCCCCAGAGGCCTGGGTGTTGGCTAAAGCTGAGGACCTTAACTGGGGTGAGCCAATTCTCTAGGAGCAAAGCCAGAGGTTCCTGGCTAGACAGTCTTGTCCCTCCACACTAGAGTCACCCAGTCGCCATATTTGGGGTCAGGAAGGAATTTTACCTTATGCTCAGACTAGTACAGACAATGGGGGTTTTGTCTTCCTCAGTAGTGGGGGGTGTGGCCCTCTACCTGGGAACATTTTACAGTAGCAGGACATTGGCTGCCATGGTTCCCCTGCTTTACCTGTAATATGTTAAGGTGTTAGGTTTATGTTGTGTCAGTGTTGCAGGTAGTCTTATGTAGTTTAGATTATGGATAGGACCTGAGGGATAGGGATGATCCTGCCTCAGGTAGGGGGTTGGACTAGATGACCTCTGGAGGTCCCTTCTGGCCCTTCTTCTCTATGACTCTAATATTAGCTCTAGTCTTCAAGGTTATCCATTTCTTCTTGTATTATCCTCTGATCCTCCCTTTCTCCCACCTCCAATTTGACAGTCCCTCCTAACTTGGCATCATCAGAAAAAATAATGTGTACATACCTACTCTGTGTGTCAAGGTCATTAAAATATCAAACAAGATCAATTATAAGTCTGGCCCTAGAAGAACTTTATTAACAACCAGAAGTTACTTTGAGTAAACTTCCTCCATCTCAATACTTCCCCTTTAAACACTACATGTTGCTTTAGACAGTTTCAACAGTTCATTTCCCACTTAACAATTCTTATATTAATTTCCATCTTCTCCAGTATCACTAATAATGTGCATTACTGAAGTCCAGATAGATGAGAAGTGATTTTTAGACCAGGGTATCCAACTGGTAGCCTATGAGGTATTAAGTTACAGAATGCAGGCTTGCACCCAAGTATCATTCCCCCAGTGCTCCTGCTGCTGCCACTGAGGTCTCTGGGCTTTCTTCCTCTCCCCTCCAGCTTCTGCTTTCCTTGCAGGGGCCCACAGTCACTCAGAAGCTGAATAACCCAGTTACAGACAAAAGAAATATAACAATGCTATAAATAGGGACCTACCAAATTTGCAATTGCATGGTTTTCGCAGAAAGCATGAATATGGGTAGGCTCCGTGAAAAATGATGGGCTCACTGCAAAAAACAAAACCAAACTATACCTGCAAGCAGGGAAAAAGGTGGGAAGCCCTGAAGTCTTGAGCAGGGGAGGAGGGGGAACAGGGAGAGTAGACAGCAGAGAAGCTGCACAAGCAGTCACTTCCTCCCCCTCCTAACATCTACCCTCCTCATCCACTTACTGCATGGATTAATGGCTTCTCTGGGTTTAATCAGGGTAATTAAGCTGTGGCTTTGGGCCATCTGGCAATTAACTAGGAGAGGCAGGACTGCCAGGGCACCTCAGCCAATCAAAGGCATGGGGGGGGGGAAGCCCACTGTGCTTGGCCTACAAAAAATGGCGGCCAGCCCTGGGATTTGCTGATAAAATCAGCTGTCCACTGCCTCAAATTCAGTATGCCTCTAGTTGTAGAGAAAGAGATCAGATTGGCCCCTCACAATTTGCTTTTAGTAAACCTTTGTTACATTTTTATCATTTTCTATGTCTTTAATCATAGAATCAGGTTGGAAGGGATGCCATGGGTCATCTAATCTAACCCCCTGCAAGTATGCAGTATTCACTGTTCCTAAACCGTCCCAGAGAGATGTTTATCCAGCTTCCCCTACAGTGCAAAAAAGTCTACAACTTCTTAGCAACTTGTTCTACTTTAGCCAGGCCAGGTTCTTTGAGGAGATGTGATATGTTTTATTAAACAAACTGAGTAGTTGGAAAAAGTTCTTAGCAAGCTTTCAGCCATAGGGAGTCTCTGCTGGTCTGAGACTTATAC